GGGAGGAGGGGATAGGTGGGAGGAAGAACAGGTTAGGGAGGCGGGGACGAGCTGGACTGGTTTTGGGATGCGGTAGGGGGAGGGGAGATTTTGAAACTTGTGAAATCCACATTGATACCATTGGGCTGCAGGGTTCCCAAGCGGAATATGAGTTGCTGTTCCTGCAACCTTCGGGTGGCATCGTTGTGGCACTGCAGGAGGCCCAGGATGGACATGTCGTCTGAGGAATGGGAGGGAGAGTTGAAATGGTTCGCGACTGGGAGGTGCGGTTGTTTATTGCGAACCGAGCGTAGGTGTTCTGCAAAGTGGTCCCCGAGCCTCCACTTGGTTTACCCGATGTACAGGAGGCCACAGCGGGTACAGCGGATGCGGTATACCACATTGGCAGATGTGCAGGTGAACATCTGCTTGATGTGGAAAGTCTTCTTGGGGCCTGGGATGGGGGTGAGGGGGGAGGTGTAAGGGCAGGTGTAGCACTTCCTGCGGTTGCAGGGAAAAGTGCCGGGTGTGGTGGAGCTGGAGGGGAGTGTGGAGCGGACAAGGGAGTCACGGAGAGAGTGGTCTCTCCGGAAAGCAGATAAGGGTGGGGAGGGAAAGATGTCTTTGGTGGTGGGGTCGGATTGCAGATGGCGGAAGTTTCGGAGGATAATGCGTTGGATCCGGAGGTTGGTGGGGTGGGACGTGAGGACGACGGGGATTCTTTTTTGGTTCGTATTGCGGGGACGGGTGTGAGGGATGAGCTACGGGAAATGTGGGAGACACGGTTGAGGGCGTTCTCGACCACTGAGAGGGGGAAGTTGCGGTCCTTGAAAAATGAGGACAACTGAGATGTACTGGAGTGGAATGCCTCATCCTGGGAGCAGATGCGGCAGAGGCGAAGGAATTGGGAATAGGGGATGGCATTTTTGCAGGAAGGTGGGTGGGAGGTGGTGTATTCTGGGTAGCTGTGGGAGTCAGTGGGCTTGAAATGGATATCGGTTTCTAGGTGGTCTTTATTCATTCTGTTTTATCTCATTTATTTTTTTCAGCCACTCCAAGCATCATGGAATTACCCAAGTCGGGGCTCCGAATGCAATTATTACGGTGTGAGTATTCCTGATGAGTGCTGTGTTACATTTACTGATGGCCTGATAAACCTTCCCAATTGGCCAGGTTTACACTGAAAGCACCGGGGAGCAGGATTTCCACCAATTCGCCTCAGTCCAAACTGACAAAAAGAGGGCTGGGGAGGGAGACTGAAGGCAGTGCCTCAGACAGAGTCATAGTCATCCAGCACGAAAATAGACCCTTTGGTCCAACTAGTCTATGCCAAACATAATCCCCAAACTAAATTAGCCCCACCTGCCTACTCCTGGCTCATATCCCTCCAAACATTTCTTATTCATGTATTTTCCAAATGCCTTAACTTACCCACATCCACCATTTCCTCTGGAAGTTCATTCCACACATGAACCACCCTCTGTGTAAAAGATTTTGCCCCCCATGACTTTTTTAAGTCTTTCTCCTCTCACCTTAAAAACATACCCCTATTCTTGAAATTCCCCATCGTAGGGAAAAGACACCTGCCATTAACCTATCTATACCCACATGATTTTATAAATCTCTATAAGGTCATCTCGCAATCTCCTATACTCCAGTGCAAAAAGCCCCGGCCTATCCTTATAACTCAAACCCTGAATTCCCAGCAACATCCTGGTAAATCTCTTCTGAACCCTCTCCAGTCTAATAATATCCACCTGATGAAGGAGCAGTGCTCCATAAGCTTGTGATTTCTAATAAACCTGTTGGACTATAACCTGATGTCATGTGACTTCTGACTTTGTCCCCCCCAGTCCAACACCAGCACCTTCACATCTGTACTGAAAGAACTGAGCAATGAAGGTAAGGATGCTAAATGCCTTTTTATCAATCCTGCCTATATGTGATGCAAACTTCAATGAATTATGTACCAGAACCCATAGGTCCTTCTGTTGTACAACCCTCCCCTTTCCCCTATAATCATGACCTAGGAGTCATGCATCTGGGCTAACAGGATAACAGGTGTATAAACAGATTTGTGCATGTAATTTTAGTTCCAGTTACAATAAGTAACAAAGATAATTGTTGTATATTGCTTGTATTCCTGTGACTCCTATATCAATCATCTAATAAAGGACCAAATAATAACCTGTCGTGGTGTTTAGATTTGCATTTAACACCATGTAACACCTTCTTGGTCTTTGCTGATGGAGTAGAGTCTGAAATACCAAGTGTGAGCTACAACAGAATTGGAATGTACCTGCGAGCTGACACTTTGTCCTTTTATGGTGTGACAGATACAATGACTCTCATCCACAAATTTTCAAAAGTATATTTGAAGGAAGCCCGTCCTGCCTTTCGAATTGAGAATGAGACAGTGCTGACTCTTTGTCAACTTCGGTGAGGACTTGGTGTGTGGCTGATCATGTGTGTTGGGAGTCCCATGTTGAATATCTTTAGACAGGAAAATAATTCCTTGCCCAGTGGCTGTGATCATGCAGTCAACTGAAGAACATTTGGATTCTGTGCCCACTGTTAGTTTTTCATTTAGCAGCTGGTACTGTTTCTTGTCCACCCATTGAACAACGGAATGGGTCAGAGGTGCTATGAGGCTTATGGTAAGGCAGGAAGTTAGCTCACCATTGTCCTCTCCAGGGAAGTTAGAGATCGGGCAAAAAATTGCTGTCCTTCCCAGTGACACTTAACATCCTTACCAATAAAAAAAACTTGGAAAGATCAGCACCATCACCGACAGTTGTGGAATACTGTAAACCTCTCCAGCTTTTTTCTCCTCCTGTAAGACCTAAGCTGTATTTACATCTCTTTGCTCACCTTGGGTTTATGGGCTGTTGTTTGTTTATATCTCTATTTCCTTATGGATAATTTTGGTGACTATGATTGCAGTTGACAGGATGTCATGTGCTATCATCCTCCAAGCTTTAATTCTTTTCTTTGACATTCAACTAGTTAAATTCATTGTGGAAGTGGACTATCACTATTCAATTTGTATCCTTTGACTTTAATATCTGAGATTTTCATGGTTTAATAATCATTTTAAAAAGGACACTACTGACCTAAGATGGCTGCAGTGGTTGCCAGACAAGCCCTGGCAACCCTCAGGGAATTGACAAAACTTCAGAACTGCCATTTTATTTAACAGCCACTGAAACTCCATGATACCTCAGGAATTTGGCACCTTTTGTTTTACTCGCACTCGCAAGATATCCGCACATAATAAGAAATGATATGTTTCCTCCAGCTTGGAATGAAACCCCAGAATGCACAAAGGGATGGCACATTAACAACAGCCTTTAACCAAAAAGAGAGAGAAAACATTGTGGACTGATAACGGCAAGGATACTAGAAGCTCTTCTCTCTAACTCAATCTCAATGGTAGAAAGC